CAATGAAAGTTCCCGAGAAATGTTTTCCTATAAAGACCATAAAAACAAATAATCCAAAAGTCGTAGACGATTCTGGAGTTTATCTAGAGCCAACAAGAATTTTCAAAAGAAATCATTTGATAAATATCAAAAAAGGGAGCTTTGTATTTCTATTGATTGATCTCGGGGGCGAAGAATTCACGTGTGCTAACTCACGATCGATAATCAAGTTATAAGTTCGTAAATGCAATATGCCGTACGTAGTACATTATATATATTTAAAGTATTTTTGATCAACACGCACTAGATCATCATGCTTATTCACAGTGCATCATTTTCCACGCCTCTTAGCATCAGGATCATATTCTTATACTGGATCATCATGCTTTATTCACAGTGTATCATTTTCCACGCCTCTTAGAATCAGGATCAAAGGGTAATTGATTAAGTAATACCATAATTGCTTTCTCAATGAATTAGTTCTTGACCAATTCTAATTATAGAATCAAGGCATAGATTGTTTTTAAAGTGGACACGGTGCACACTTGGCTTATTTCATAAATTTTCACACTATTTTCACGAGCATGATCCGCTTATCAGGTAATAAATTTATTAAAATTTATTGGATTTTATTCTAGAACCTAAAATAATTGTGCGTAATGTCATGAGTTTCCGAATGTAGATCATGCAACATTGAAACAAGGATCTGTAAATATTTCTATTGACCCTGAAAAAACTTATATAAGTAATCGTCTTTTTGTTTTTTTTCTACAGAAGAACTATTTGCAAAATTTGTTTATAAATATCCCACTTAACTATTTAAATAAATGCATATGAACAAGAAAATTATCGTGACTGATATCAGTTCTACTGCTTCTGAAAAAACAGGTATTTTATAAAATTGTTATTTCGTTATCTTATTCATGTATGCGTAACAAAAAAATTTTTTTTTTTTTTTTTTTTGAACGCACGCCCATTTTTTTCCATTTTTTTCTTTTTTTTACTTTTTTTTTTTTTTATTTTGTTTGAGCATTTTTTTCAATATCAACTCATTTGTTTTACACGCGGGGTTATTGTTCTTTGAACAAGGTCCTGA